CCCTCTCCCCAGGCCCAGGCTGGCGGCTCCCGGGAGCTTGCCCAGGACCGCAAGAAGTGGGCACCTTCCTGGGCTAGTGCAGACATAATGGACCTTGTCCATGATCTCTGCACTAGGTTCAGGAAAGTGGCCGTCTAGGGCAGGAGGGCTGCCAGCCTGGCCACCCAGGACCAGGTGTGCATGAAAATCAAGGGGGTCCACTGAGACCCCCGACCCTGAGCCCTGAGCTTACAATGGCCGTCCTGGGTCAGACCAAAGGTCCATCTAGCCCAGTAGCCTGTCTGCCAACAGCGGCCAACCCTAGGGACCCTGGAGGGGATGGACCGAAGACAATGACCAAGCCATTTGTCTCGTGCCATCCCTCTCCAGCCTTCCACAAACTTTGGGCAGGGACACCACTCCTACCCTCTGGCTAATAGGACTCCATGGACCCAACCTCCATGACTTGATCTCACTTCCCTTTAAACTCTGTTCTAGTTGTAGCCTTCACAGCCTCCTGCAGCAAGGAGTTCCACAGGTTAACTATTTGCTTTGGGAAGAAGAACAACTTTCTCTTACTAGTTTCAAGCCTGCTACCCATTCCTTTCCTTTGGTGTCCTCTAGTCCTTCTTTATGGGAACTCAGGAAGAACTTTTCTGAATGCACCCTCTCCACCCAACCCCTGCTTTTAGAGACCTCTATCCTGTCCCCCCTCCGTCTCCTCTTTTCTAAGCTGAACAGTCCCAGTCTCTGTAGCCTCTCTTCATCTGGGACCTGTTCCCAACCCCTGATCATGTTAGTTGCCCTCCCCTCTCCCAGCCTTTCTCTTCCCCTCTCCCACCTCCTTTTCCCAGTCTCCCCCAGTTTTTTTCAATAAAGACAGAGTCAATGTTGGAAGAAACGTTATCTTTATTTTGTACATCAATAAGAAGGGGGGCTAGGGAAGGGTAAGTGGAAGGAGGAGAGGGAGGAATGGGGTATGAGCCCCCGATGGGGAGGACTGGGCTGGCTCTGCGGGCTTCTGGGGGTGGAAGCTCTCCTGCAGCCCCCCAATTACTCCCTCTCCCCAGATGGCAGCCTGCGGCAAGTGCAGCCGGGCTGATGGCCGAGTGGTGTGATGTGCCCAGTGTGGGCACTCAGGGCACTCCAAGCCAGAACTTCTTTGCAAGCGGGGCACCCCTTAGAACTGTGTGTCCGGGGTGGGGGTCGGGACCCTTTAAGCGCAGCCCTCGGCTAGCCTGAGACAGCATCTCCACGCTCTAAGTCCTCCTCTGATGCCCTGCCGGCACTGCTTCCGGCCATCCTTAAGCCCTGTTCAGGGTCCACTCAATGTGGACTTGCTAGTTCGAATTAGCAAAACGCTAATTCGAACTAGTTTTTAGTTCTAGACGCGTTAGTTCGAATTAGCGCTGTAGTGTAGACGTACCCAAGTATTGCAGAAAGGGATCTAGGGGTCATAGTGGACCACAAGCTAAATATGAGTCAACAGTGTGGCACTGTTGCACACACACACAAAAAAGCAAACATGATTCTGGGATGCATTAACAAAAGTGGTTGTGAGCAAGACACGAGAAGTCATTCTTCTGCTCTACTCTGTGCTGATTAGACCTCAATTGGAATATTGTGTCTAGTTTTGGGAATCACATTTCAAGAAAGATGTGGAGAAATTGGAGAGGGTCCAGAGAAGAGCAACATAAAAGATTAAAGGTCTAGAGAACATGACCTATGAGGGAAGGCCGAAAGAATTGGACTTGTTTAGTTTAGAAAAGAGAAGACAGAGGAGACATGATAGTGATTTTACTATCTTAGTTTTACTAAGGGTGCTGCAAAGAGGATGGAGAAAATTGTTCTCCTTGACCTCTGATAGGACAAGAAGCCATGGGCTTAAATTGCAGCCAGGAAGATTTAGGTTGGATATTAGGAAAAACTTCCTGTCAGGGTGGTTACACACTAGAATGAATTGCCTGTGGGGGTTATGGAATCTCTCATCCCTGGGGATATATAAGAGCAGGTTAGACAGACACCTGTCAGAGATGATCTAGAGGGTGCTTGGTCCTGCCATGAGGGCAGGGGACTGGTCTCAATGACCTCTTGAAGTCCCTTCCAGTTCTAGTGTTCTGTGATTCTATGATTCTTTCAGGTTGGTAGGTTTATCTCTAGCACTGCTTCCCTAAAGCCTGTGTTGTGTATCTTCTCTGCTTCTGTTCCGGCTGCTCATAGTAGACAGCGGGGGGACAGTTGTTTTGGTGAGCCAAGATGGAATTCAGAGGCCTCCGCTCAGGTTCCCCAAAGGAGGACACCTGCTACAGTTTCTCTCCTGCCTAGAAAATGGCCTCCTTCCTCATGGACAGCTGGACCCTCCTCTCTGGTCTCAGAGGGGGAAGGTAGGAACCTTGACTGAGGGAATGCGGTGGCTCACTTACAGGGAACATACCCCTTGCTGACAAGGGCTGCTGGCTGGTGCTGCAGAGTGGTCTCAGCCTGTACCAGGTGATAGCTACACTTTACAAATCCTGCGTTTGAATGGCTCTGGAGTCACACACACCAGGAGCCTAGAGCTGGACCGGAGCTGGTGTGATGACATGATCTATCCCCTGCAGAAGAGAAGGGCACACAGTAGAGTGGAGCCTGCAGCCTATGAACAATCAAGCCTTGTATCTCAGCCCATTCCCTTTATAACTGTACCCTGCTCTTCCTGGGCCCTGGTCTGGGCTAACTCGTCTGTTCCGGTTTCTGATGCACATGGGCCAGCAACCAGAGCTACCAAGAAAGAGCAGAGTCCCCACATGAGGGGGCTGAATACAAGTGCTGGTTTATTTCAGGCAAACACTCCTGTCCCTGCCGTTGCTTGTACCCTGGGCGAAATGCATCCCTGACCCTGAAAGCCAGCAGCAAAGCTGGGCACAGTGTCAGCCGGGCAGGGGCAAGTGAGACTTGTGGTACCCAGACAGGGCTGCCTTTCCCCCTGACTTGCTTAATTCACCAGACACTGCTGGTTGCCTTAGGCCACTGGGCAACGTTCCGGGGGCCGGAGGGCCATAAAGCAGCTTGCAGCTGCTCTTACCTAACACACAGGTGTATTGGTGCCCTGCAGCAGAGCTAGCGGTTGGTCTTAGCTCACGATGCCCTCTCTCAAGGGAGGTAGCTGGGTCCCATTGAAAGCTGGGATCTGCACACTCCCTGCTCCCCATCTGTCTATGCAAGTTACATGGGCTGGGGCTTGCTGGAGATTTGGCACAAGATCAAGTCTTCCATACGTGGGACTGTGACTACGGAGATCCAGCCCAGAGGGGCCCACCGTGGGCGGGCGGACACTTGGACACTCCAGTCCAGCCAAAGCAGCTCCCCTGCCCACCCTTGTTTAGGCAGATAACTAGTTACATATAATGTTTAACCAGTAAACTAATCAAATGGGATTTTACACCCCTCCTCCTCACCATTCGCTTGGCTGGCAGATCTCCAGCCGAGCAAATAGTGAGGAGGAGGGGTGTAAAATCCCATTTGATTAGTACACTGGTTAAACAATATATTTAACTAGTTATCTGCCTAAACGGGGGTGTGCAGGGGAGCTGCTTTGGCTGGACTGGCATGCCTGAATGTCGTCCCGCCCACGGTGGGCCCCTCTGGGCTGGAGAGCCCCCAGCCCTTGTCAGGTGGGGGAGGGAGGGCTGCTCCAGTCCCTGCTGATGAACCATGACTGGAAAGCATCACCTATTAAAGGCGATGCTTTCTGGTTAACCCGTTAACCGGTCACATCCCTAGTGAGGATGTGTGTGCTCCTCGTTCAGTGGGAGAGTGTGGGTGTTCGTAGCCTTTTTAGTGGCATTTGAGGGTTGCCCTGAATGTAAACCCATGGCCTGGCTCTATAAACAGCAGTTCTTATTTATTTAGGGGAAGGTGTTTCCAAAGCTGAGAAAACGAAGTCCTCAGGGCTCCTCCGAGTCGGCGTCTGATAAGGAGGACGATGATGTGTGTGCTCCTCGTTCAGTGGGAGAGTGTGGGTGTTCGTAGCCTTTTTAGTGGCATTTGAGGGTTGCCCTGAATGTAAACCCATGGCCTGGCTCTATAAACAGCAGTTCTTATTTATTTAGGGGAAGGTGTTTCCAAAGCTGAGAAAACGAAGTCCTCAGGGCTCCTCCGAGTCGGCGTCTGATAAGGAGGACGATGAGGCTACCGACTACGTCTTCAGGATCATATACCCTGGCATGCAGTCGGAGTTTGGTAGGTGCACCCAGTAATGACATGCAATGTGACTTGTTTCTGGAGTGGAACTAGCCTGACACCAGTGCTGCTGGATACGCCCAGCAGAAGTCCCTGCCAGGATCTATTCCAGGAGAGAGGCTGTCTGTGAGGGAATTCCCTTTTCAGTATCACATGTTTTGTTCTGACCTTTTTCTCTCATAGCTGGAGAAGGGCCCTAGGCTACCGTACAATGGAGCTCTGGGAATACTGGAAGGAGTCTTCCCCAGATATTGGACTCTGACTGAGATCCTTTTCTGGCTGTGTTCCTGAACCTTTCTGGGCACTTTTTTTGCAAAAGCAGGTGGCCACAAATGTGTTAATTGGAAGTCCTGTTTGTTCCTCCTCTCATGCTGGTGCAAAACAGGAAACACTTTGCTAACCCCAGTGGGCTAGATCCTTAGCTAGACATAAGTCCTTTCTGTGCTACTCCAGCTGCACGTAGAGGGGAGAATTCACATTGGCTTAGCTGGTGTCCTCACACCTACTCATCTCCTCCTTGGGTTGCCTGATGCAGAAATAGATCATTATTAGATCATCTAGTTTGGCTTGTATCATGGAAGCCAGAGGGTTTCCCCCTATTACTCCTGGAGTGTGCCCAATAACTTGTGTGTGACAAGGCAGAGAATGGTTATGTCTACACTGCAGCTCTGTCTCTGTCAGGTCTCCTGGGTAGCTGCTCTGTCCTGCTGGCATAATGAAACCAGCCCAGCCAGTGGCAGTAACTGTGTGGGCCAGAGAACATCTCCCACCAGCATGGCGCTGTCCACACCGGTGCTTTTGTCAATGTTTTTTTTCACAGCTGGGATGGACAAAAGTTTTACCGACAGACGTGTGAGTGTGGACACAGCTTAAAACTAAACCAAACATCAGAGATGTTTGATTTAGTTTTGAACCCTCCTGTGCAATTTCCTAGTGGGGCAAAATTCTCTGTTAAATGAGTGATTGACAGCTCCTGTGGCTATTGACAGCTCCTCTGCCACATGGAATAGAGCTTTCCCCTAGGGCATGTAGGCTGGATTAGCTCTAACTCCAGCACGGATTCTGCCTCGCCTCATTCATTTGAGCCTTCGTCTGTCTCCCATGTCTTTAGTTCCGGTTAACAGTCGTTCTCGTCCTTTCCTTGCCTCTCCTGCACTCTCCGTCGCCGTTGGGCGGGCAAGGACCACAAGGATTCCTGCTACAAGCAAGACTGTGGTGATCCCCAAATGCTCTCAGGGCCTCCTGAACAGATCCTTCACTGCACCAAGGGCTGAATGGCGTCAGTGTAATGTTGCTGTCACCCCGGTTCCTCTCATTGCTTTGCTGTCTGGGCCGTGTTGTCACTGGTGGATCCCTGTGTGCTGACCTCAGCAGGCCCACCTGGGTTATTGTTTTCCTTCTGTGAGTTGTCAGAAGGGAGAAGGCCTTGGTGAGGCCTAATATCACTTCTGGTGCTCACCTTGAACACCAGCAGCTGCTCAAGAATGAAAAGCAGGGAGGGCTATGAGGTGCCAAGCAGAGGCTAGCATGAGCTTCCTGTTCAGAGAGCCCTGCACATCCTGGTTCTGCTGCTTTACCTTGAGCATACCCTGACGCTCCCTACTGGGGCAGAATTCTCTGTTAAATGAGCGATTGACAGCTCCTATGGCTAGGGGCCCTCCTATGCCACATGGAATAGGGCTTTCCCCTAGGTCATGCAGGTTTGATTAACACATCACCGTGCACAATATCCCCTCTAATTGTTTTCATCCAGATGTGGAATAAAGTTTGTTAGATGCACTGAATCATGTGTCATGTGCACCACCATTAGAAACACACACGCTGCTGGCTGTGGGCACTCTGCTAATCACCTGGGGTGCACTTGAAACTCTCCTGGGTGGCTGCCCAAGCGCTTAGCTTACAGGGAACAGTGGGTGTGCAGAAGCCTCTCCCATCTGGAGGCCAGAATTCCTGCCCTCTCTTAGCTCCTACGTGAGAGTGGACTGGATTATTGCTTCTTTATCTCAGGTTGTACCAGCCCCAAGATTCCCTTTGGTTTGGGAGATCTCTGTACATAAGAGGCCGCAGACAGAAATGGCAGGGGAGCATCAGGGTATGTTCAAGGTAAAGCAGCAAACCCAGGATGTGCAGGGCTCTCTGAACTGGAAGCTCATGCTAGCCTCTGCTTGGCCTATTACAGGTTGGGCTTCCCTTGTCCAGCATCCTCAGGGTCCCGAACAAGGGAGTTTGCCAGACCAGAGAAGTCTCTGGACTCTCCCAGGGTCCATGGGCTGATCCGGCCAAGCTCTCTTCCCGGCCGTATGGCTCCCCTCCACCGGGCTCTGAGGCTGCTGGCACTGTGCTGTCCTGGGGTCTCTGGGACCACTGGGGCTTCACTGTTCCCAGCTCTGTTCCCTGCCAATATGCTCCTGCTGGACCACGGAGGTTGCTGGATCAGAGAGTCACAGACCAGAGAGGTTCAACCTGTATTTGCAAACAGGCAGGAGGCTCAATTAGCTCACAATTTCAAACCCGAACCATTGCAAGTGACCATTCAATTCAATCAGAGATTTAGCAAATGACAATACCCTGGGAGCAGCCTGCGCTGCCTTGCCCTGCCCTGGTTAACCTCTTGCAGCTTCTTAATCAAACTTGCTTCTTCAGTCACGACTCTAGAATCCTCTCCTTCTTCCTGTGTCCCCTTTGATGTCGGCAGCATTCCTGGGTGACTGGGATGGGCGTATCTTGGAGCCATGATCCGTTACTGTGCTTGATTGATTTCTAGTGATCTGTGTGTGGCTGGCCATCTCACACGCAGGGATGTCTGCTTGCTATCGGGTCTTTTTCAGCACTCTGCAGTCCCGAGCACCGGAGCTTGACTTGGGTGACATTTCTTACTCTTTCCTTGTTCTTTCCCTTCCTGCAAATGCATCACTACTCAGCAATGGGACTGGCTGGCACCAGACCCGTGCGGTTCAATACATTCTGCTTGGGAAGACTGGGGGATATTGATCTCTCGAATCAGAACTGTCCTGTCTCTCGCTCTTTCTGGTGTGTGAGGCATCTATCTCCTATCGCAGTTGTTCAGTGATGTCTTCCCTGGCTTCTCGCAGCTCCCCAGGACCTGATAGAGACACCAGTCAGTGGCCTGCCGTCCATGTGGCAGCCCAGCACCCGCAAGTCCTCCTGCTCCTCCTGCTCTCAACCGCCGCAGCCACGAAAGGTACGACCGGCAGGTGCCTTCTTGGTGTGGCGGATGCACGTGCACCGCAGTTCATATGCTGGGACCATGCTGAGATCCTCAGAATGCCTTAGGGGAGAGCTGGGGATGGGGCAGACATTTGCCTCACTGCCCTCCTTTGTCAGCTGAAAGACTCTGCTGTCTCAGGGCGAGGTCAGACTCCAGGCCATGTGTCCCCCTCTCAACTACAACTCTAACGGGAACACCTTTGCAGGGCGTTTCTGTCCTATGCTGGGATGCTCAGGCTGGCACTTGGTTGTGTTTGCAGTAGGACCGTGGAGACAGTTTTGCAGCACACAGAGAAGTGAAAAGATCTTTAGCAGCAAAATCCTTGCTGTGGCCTAAAGGGGCTCAGGCTATTCTGGGCGTGACTGTCCGGAAGGGGCTAATCGTGGTACAGGACTCCCTTCATAGGGATGGCCTATGAGCTGGGCACATCCAGGTTCTGATCCCAGCTTTCCTGTGTAGTCCCACTGCAGCCTTGGGCAGGTAGCGTAGGCTGGCATTGTCTGAGGAGACTGGGGGAGTTAGGTGCCTAACTCTCTAGCTTCTGTACAAATCCCAGTTTTACTCTCTGCCTCAGTTTCCCATCTGTAAATATCATATTGATTCTGAGTTGCCCTTTCTCCAAGCACAGTCAGCCCATGTGGGTAAGCGTTGGTCAGGTGGTGGCAGCAGAAAGCCATAACTGAGCAAACCAATGGATCAAAAAGCTTGAGCTGAGCCTCCTGGCTGTTCTCTTCTCCTGCCACACTTTGCTTCCCAGCTCAGCAGATGCCCACCTCTGAGGTGGGACAATTAGTGCAGGATAAACAAATTAGCGTTAAAAGTGAACCCTTCCCCCTCCCTCGGGTCACACTGCAGGGCAGGCTGCTGTGTGATCTGGTCATTGCATGACTTGGGCTCTGTCCGGGGGAGCACATGAGCAGTCAGTGCCATCAGGCGGGCCAGGGCACTGTGTGGCAGCAGGGGCAGTAATGGGGGGCCATTCCTCTCTGATTCGTTTTCTCCTCTCTCAGCAGAACCCCACTAAAGCTCCTGTGTGACAACATGAAATACCAGATCCTCTCCCGGGCGTTCTACGGCTGTGAGTGCTCCCTAAGAGAGGGCGGGTCAGAGTCTCCTGGCCAGTACAGCATGCTGTCAGCAGCAAGTTAACTGGGGGATCAGTCTAGGGCCATACACAATGCACACTCACCCACCCGTGCTGCCCGCCGACGGCATGCACCGAGTGTGGGGAATAGAATTTGGGCCAGGCTGACAGAACCACTGCCCTTCACGCTGACCAGTATTGGCTCATTGCTTCCTGGGACTCTCCTGGCTGTTCATGTACAAACAGAGACTGTAAATTATCTGACTGCCTTCGTTCTGGGTTTGCACGGCTCCTAGCACAGCTGTGGCCTTGCTCTGAAACACAAGCTGTGGCCCAGGGAGCTACAGACAGCAGCCTCAATTTGCCCACGATCAAGAAAGCCCTCCTGGCAGGGAAAGGCAGTGCTGCCCCATCCACAGCATGAATCAGGGTGGCCCAACTGTCCGATGGATGGGAGGCGCCTCAGGAATGGGGCAGCAGTAGGGGTGGCCCCTCCACACTCACCTGCTTCACTCTGCCCCATTGCCCTGCCGACCCATGGTTCCCTGCTTTTCAGTGGCACAGCAGGGCAGAGCAGAGCAGGCTGCTGGGCCACTCCAGCTCTCACTGCCCCATGTGGTAAATGCAGGGGTGACCCTATTGCCGCTGATGCACCAAGTCCTGGACTCCCCTAAGTCACATTGCTTGGGGGAGGGCGCAAAGGGGCAAGCAGGGTGGAGCTTGGGGAAGAGGGGGATGGTTCCTGCCATGGGGACAGGGCGCTGCCCCGGTCCCCATGCCTGGGTCACTGAGAGGACGTGCCCCAGGCCCCATGTCCCCTCGGGACAGCCCTGGTGAAATATATTGGGCTGTGGACCAGTCTCCCACAGGGGGAAGAGCCCTTGTTTGCGACTCTTAGACTGGAAAAAGCCCTGGAAAATCTGCACTGGAAAGCAATTCCCCAGTGACACAGGGTGCATGTACTCATTGGCATTCCACGCTTCTGCCTGTGTTCTTCTGGTTCTGAATGGATCCTTGCCTCTTCCCGACAGGGCTGGCATACTGCCGTCATCTCTCCACTGTGCGAACTCACCTCTCGGCGTTGGTTAACCACAGCATTGTGTCTCCCAACCTGCCAGGGAATGCCAGCTCTGGCCTGACTGCAGAGACGTGGCAAAAATACCTGCAGGACAGCACGGTAGGTCCAGCATTCTAGTTCGACTGGTCAACGGAGGCCTAGGCAAGAACTAGTGCTGCTTCCTCAAAACACAAAGCTTCTCCATGGTAGCTAGTGTGAACAGGGCCAGGCATCGACTTCCCCTCTAGCCAGGGTGCTGAATCCCTTCTCCTTCCTAGGCCCCAGCTCCACTCCACCCTTCCCCCAAATTCTGCCCCCACCCTGCCTCTTCTCTACCTCCTCCCCTGAGCATACCCCATCCCCATTCTCCCCTCCCTGGAGTGTCCTGAATGC